GAACACTTCCAATTCCTGGCCAATGAAAAAAAAAACAGTTTTATATAAAAACGTAAGAGAATAAAAACACTTCCAATTCCTCTCTCTCTCTCCTACTCATCCCTTAAAAGCTTTTTGGCGTTAACCCAGTCCAGTCGCCACCGAACCTGAAAATTCTATGTGATCTCGCCGGAATCTCTTCCGATTTCGTCTCTACTTCTCCGTTTTTTACTCTCTCCGTCCTTCGATCTTCTCGCCCTTGATCGTCTTTTAGAGAATTTCGTCGGATTTCATTCTTAATTCATTGAAAAAACTCATAATCCTTTCTTCCCAAAATTCTGAATTCGATGGATGAATATTTAAGCGCTGAAGAAGAGGATTGCTATTATTCCTCCGATCAAGAGACTTTCGACGGGATTGCTAACGATGAGGAGCCTGTTTCTTCCTCTTCCAGAAGATCAACTACTCAGGTTCTGTTGATCGTTCCTCGTTTTTTTATCTCCTAAACTGAATTTTGATGATTCAATTACAATTGTGGGTTGATCATCGGAATTTCTCAGTTTTCAAAGCTCTATCCTTTTTGTATATAGGATTCTGAAAACTGTGATTCATTAGACGATTTACCCTGTTCTTCTCTGTTTGAAATTTAGGGTTCTAAGGATCTTGGAACTTTATCATACCAAATCAGTTGATTTTTTTACTTGTTATGAAGAAGATTCAAGTTTCTTTGGGTTATTGATGCTCTTTACAAGTAACTCAGGGCTTGTTTTGTTAACATTGATCAACTGTTTTTGCAGGTCATCACTCAGGAATCGCTTCTGGCAGCACAGGTACATTTGGATGCTTCTCGAACATTTTCTTTTAGGGTTTTCTGTTTTAAGGTTTTAAGTTGGTTGAGTTGTTGTTTTTGTGATGCAGAGGGAGGATTTACAAAAGGTGATGGAGTTGATGTCGGTTAAGGAGCACCATGCGAGGACTCTTCTTATTCATTACCAGTGGGATGTGGATAAGTTGTTTGCTGTGTTTGTCGAGAAAGGAAAAGATAGCTTGTTTTCTGGAGCTGGTGTTACTGTTTTCGACAATCAGTATGACGATTCCTCCTTCTCTCACGATTCAGTAATGAGTTGTGATGTCTGCATAGAGGAGGTTCCGGGTGATCAGATGACGAGAATGGAGTGTGGACATTGCTTTTGCAATGATTGTGAGTCTCTGTTTTACCAAGATGTGAGGTTTATTTTATCGCAGAGGTAGTAGATGTATGATTTAATGCAGGACTTGTTTGGTTTAGGTTGGACGGAGCATTTTACTGTGCAGATAAATGAAGGTCAGAGCAAAAGAATTAGATGCATGGCTCATAAATGCATTGCAATTTGTGATGAAGATGTTGTCAGGAATCTAGTCAGTAAAAGGCGCCCAGATCTAGCTGAGAAGTTTGATCGTTTCCTTCTTGAGTCGTACATCGAAGACAATAGAATGGTCAAGTGGTGTCCAAGCACTCCTCATTGTGGGAACGCAATACGAGCTGAGCATGACAAGTTGTGCGAAGTTGAATGTTTCTGTGGTCTTCAGTTTTGTTTCAGTTGTCTGTCTCAAGCCCACTCCCCTTGCTCTTGCTTGATGTGGGAGCTCTGGAGAAAAAAGTGTCGAGATGAGTCTGAGACAGTTAATTGGATAACCGTTCACACGAAGCTGTGTCCCAAATGTTTCAAACCTGTGGAAAAAAATGGTGGATGCAATCTCGTAAGGTGTATTTGTGGGCAGTGTTTTTGGTAAGAACTGTAGGCGCGTTTTTTTCTTTCTATTTTGCATTTGCTTTTCTATGAGTATATGTCAGGTGGTGGTGATGTGTCTCGTGTTTGGTTGTTATTTTGTGCAGTTGGTTATGTGGTGGAGCTACGGGAAGTAATCACACTACTAGGAGTATCGCGGGACACAGTTGTGGTCGGTATGACGACAAAAAAAGGCAGATGGAAAGAGCGAAAAGGGATTTAAATAGGTATACACACTATCATCACCGGTACAAAGCTCATACGGATTCCTCAAAGCTAGAGGATAAACTTAGGGGCACTATCCTTAAGAAAGTGTCAAAGTCAGAAAAGAAGGAGTTGAAGCTCAAAGACTTCAGCTGGGTTACCAATGGACTCAACCGGTTATTCAGATCAAGACGGATCCTTTCTTATTCATATGCTTTCGCATATTACATGTTTGGTGAAGAGCTGTTCAAAGATGAGATGAGCCCGAAGGAGAAAGAGATAAAGAAGAATCTGTTTGAGGATCAGCAGCAGCAACTTGAGGGTAATGTTGAGAAACTTTCCCAGTTATTAGAGACGCCTTTTGATACATTTAGTGATGAGAAAGTCATGGATGTACGGATTCAAATCATCAATTTGTCTGTTGCGGTCGATAACCTCTGCAAGAAAATGTACGAGTGCATTGAGAATGATTTGCTCGGGTCTCTCCAACGTGGCATCCACAGCATCGCACCTTACAAATCAAAGGGTGTCGAACAAGCAGCTGAGTTTTATGCTTCCTGGAATTCCAAAGGAGAAGATGGTGCTGACAAATTCCAGCCTTTGGATTGTGGTACAAGCGGTAATTAACTCTTCGGTTTATGATGATACATTCTAGTAACAAGCCTATGAAATCAAATCCTGAATATGAGTCTTGATTTTCACAGGAGGGACATCGAAGATCGAGCAAGCTTCAGGATCAAGAAACTCGGAAGACACGATTTCCTCTTCTTCAAATAAACGTCCCAAAAAAGAAGGAGCTTTCACAAACAACAAAGCCACTCTATTGGATTTGAATTTGCCACCTGATTTCATCGACCAGAACTGAAGAACTCAAACTCTTTTCTGTTCTATCCAAATGATATGACAGAGCAAAAGGAATTTGGTTGGCTCTATCTCGTTGAAGATTCAGTCATTTTTGTCTTTCTTTATATAGCTTTTTGAGGTACTAAAGAGGTCAAGTTTTTCAAATCAAGCTCAAATTGTCTTACAACCAACCCTAAAGGAACATAAAAGAAGCAAGAGAAGTTATGTCTAAGAGTTTACAAACCAAACAGAAATCATAGAGATGAGGGATTCGAATCCCTCTACAAATCCTTTCCGCGGACGATATGGAGTTGGATCGCATAGACGACATTTTGCTTGCGGAAGAGTTCACACAAAATGCGGTCTTCTTCCTTGAGGTGGTTCCGCTCGCATATTTGGTTCCAGTTTTTGATGCACATGCGATCACCCCATTGCACTGAATTCCCTTTGAGTTTCTCGAATCCGTCAATGTACTCGATGGTCTGCTCAAATTTCAAATTGTAGTCTTTCACCAATTGTGCATGAATCAACTGTAGTAGAAGTACCAAAAATGTTAAATCAAAACAGTTTTTAAGTTTAAAGAGTATACATATATGTGAGACCAAATGATATTTGCAATACTCACCAACTCGTAGTGTCTGTTCTTCAGACTTGTCTCGAAATATGGATTACTTGGATTCTTTAGATATTTCTCTGGATTTTTGATTTTCGGCACCACTGAAAAAGGCACAAACTCATTTGTATTAGAAGATCACACAAACACTAATGATCTAAATTTAAGTGATGAAATTTCAGTCACATGTCTTTACATTTCTTAGCCTTTTTTGCCTTAGAACAAGAAGCAGAGTCCACATTTTTCACAGACTTGGATTTTCCTGAAAATTCTGAAGAGACCAAAAACAATTTCACATAACATTATATAAGCAATGCACAAATGATCATCACAAAGTGATGAAAAACTAATACATGTTTTTACCTCTCTTCCCTGAATTTTTCATCTGTTGTTCGGTAAGAGCGGTTATGAAGTCTTCCATGTCAGTGTCGATGTCGATGTCGTCGGGAGAATAAGAAGAGTCACTGCTGGGATTCTCCGGGTCACTTTCTTCATCGGAATCATCCACTTTTGACTTTCCTGTAACAATAACAACTTTGTCAATATGTATACCAACCACAGAGAACAAACATACAAGTGATGAGAACAAAAGCTAACCTTTGTTCTCGCTTTGTTCCGAAGAATTGTTTGTATCGGTGATGGTGAGAGAACAAACACTATCTTCTTCAATTTCTATAACTTCAACAGCAGCTCTTACCTCTTTGCATCCATCTTCACCATAGATGCTAACCTCGAAGATTCGATCTCCATCGTAGAGAAACATCAAGCTGTCACCGTCCTTAAGTTGATTGTCTTCGACGAATTTGGACCAACCTTTTCCAAAGTAAACTCCATCTGGTTTCTTCATGACCACTATCTTCCAAGAGCAACCACCGGTTCCTTCGAGAGTCACGGTGTTCGACAAACCATGTGGAAGTTCATCGTAGTAGGAACTTGGGATCTTCTGTTATTGACAGAAAATTGTTAACTCAATAAAACAATACTCAAAGAGATAAATAAACAAATACACAACATAGAGACTCTTTAAGGTAAAGTCAAAGTTGAAACAAACCACACACACAGCAATTAAAACTTCTAACAAAATCAAAGCATACAAAACTCAAAAGTAAACATAAAACTGTTTCTATTCATCAACAGAGAAACACTAAATCTGAGAAAGTGACCGATACTTTTATAGAGTAAGCTGATTCATAAAGAAAGTTCACATCTTTAGCTCTGGGAAAACAGAGCAAAACCCTTAGACCC